ATGGACAGAAACTCTAGGTGGACCTATAGTTTTGACCAGCCTATAAGCCTGCTTTTTTCAAAATTTTTTATTTTTTTCGTGAATAAGCAAACAAAAGCGGGATCTGTTTTTTTTACTGATGATAGTTTGTTAAACACATAGTTGTACCAAATTTCAGTTTTATTTATTGAGAAACAGATAAGCTACGGGAGTTTTCAGGGTGGATCTATAGTTTTGGCCAGCGCTGTATTAAATTGCTCACACAGTGCTGGCCAAAACTACAAATCCATCTGAAAACTGCCGTAGCTCATTTGCTTTCCAAAGAATTAATCTGAAGTTTGGCACAGCTGTGTATTTGAGAGACTGCCATCAGTAACCAAAACGGATTCCGCTTTCATTTCATTATTCAGGAAAAAATTAGAAATTTAGCAAAAAGCAGGCTTGGAAGTTGGCCAAAACTATAGGTCCACCTAAATTTTCTCTCCTTCAAAGTAATGCTCGGATTCCGCAATCGGTGCATACACATAACCAAAATTCAAGACAGCCGATTTAGTTCAACTGTGCCATATCTTTAAAAGGAACGCTTAGCTGCTTTTTTCACTCAAAAATACTTTCACGCGTATTTCGTTACAGAATATGTCCTTTTATGGGTGAATCTACAGTTTTTCAATTGGTTTGGGGGCGATAGGGCTTCACCTGTTTTATGGATGCTAGCGAAGTGAGCACTAAAAAAATTCAACCATGGCAGCGAACGACTGTGATAGTACCATGGCAGCGAGCGACTGTGATAGTCCTGACAGTCCTCCAGCAATACAATACTGACAGGCTACATGGCCCATCGGCAATGTTTGAACACGTTCTAATATTCAGCCTACTTATAATCGACAGATCGTAATTATTTACGGACACGACCCGTCCTCCAGCTATACAATACCGAACTTCATTATTTTACTTACTTCATTATTTTTGGCCTAACAAGAGAATGGTCAGAAGTCGAAGTGGGCAATCCTTTAGATGCAGCATAGAACGCTGACTACAAATTTGTCTTCCGTATCTGCTGAACGGCTTTGTAGACAAAGTCATAAGCAGTTTTGTTGCAGGAAAGTTGTACATGTAGCTTGCGAAATTAGGTAGTACATTATTGCCTTTTCAACTCATCTTTACTCAGATAATCGCCGGGGCAGGTAGCCATGCGATTTAGGTTTAAGCAGGCACCGGAAAAAGTAGTTCGCTAATTTCTTGCAGTCCGCTTGCAGATCTTCGAAGAATGGTCAACTTTCAGACGAATGCTCGGAGAACAATTGCGTTTTTTCATGGTTTAGTTGCGGCGCGGCGGCAGCATTCTCGCGGACTTCCCGCGAAAATATGCAAAACTGTCGAGGGAGGGCCGCACGGTCCTTGTGAAGGACCGCACAGCCCCCGAGTACTTTCCGCTGAGAGAAAGTACCCCAAACTATGGAATCAAACCATCGATGACATCTCTGCCATGTAAAGTCCTACCCCTGCTTGACGTACTCCCAAAATTGCTTACAAGGGAATGGTCAGAAGTCGAAGTGGCCAATTCATACAAGCTGCATGCCATTAGATGCAGCATAAAACGCTGACTCTAAATCTGTCTTCCTTATCTGCAGAGCGCTTTTATGGACGAAATTATAAGCCGTTGAAGGCCATTATTTTGCTAAGAAATTGGGCATGTAAAGTGCAAACTTGGCCGTACAAAGCCATTCTTAGCTCACTGTCGGACCAAAACTTGCAACTAGGTCACATCATATGACCCGTACCTAGAGTTGAGCTGAAAGAGCAATAATGCGCCTAATTTTGCAATTTTTGTATACGGTTTTTTCGCAGTAAAGCTGCTCATAACTTCGCCTACAAAGGCGTTCTGCAGATATGGAAGACAGATTTGAAATCAGCATTTTATGCTACATCAAATGGTATGCAGCTTATTTGGTTTGGCCACTTCGACTTCTGACCATTCCCTTGTTAGAAAAAATCCAAGCGCTTGCTGACAAGGGGATGGTCAGAAGTCGAAGTGGCCAAACCAAACAAGCTCTATATCATTCGATGCAGTATAAAACGCTGACTTCGAATCTGTCTTCCTTTCGATTCTGTGGACAAAGATACAAGCGGTTTTATTGTGAAAAAATCATACATAAAAACAGTGAAATTGGGCACATTGCTGCACTTTTAGCTCAGCTTCTGCCTTTACAAATTGAAGTAAGCTAGCTGCGTGTTTTGGCCCTGCATTAAGGCGAACGTGGCTCTGTACGGCTAAATTTTCAATTTTAAGCATAATTTCCTAGCAAAATAATGATCTTTAATGGCTTATAGCTTCTCCAGAAAAGCGATAAGCAGGTAAGGAAGACAGATTCAGAGTCAGCGATTCATGCTGCATCTAATAGTATGCAGCTTGTCTAAATTGGCCACTTCGATTTCTGACCATTCCCTTGTGAGGATTTGGCCACCGCTCGCTGAAAAAAATTATTCGACGACCGCTTGAAGAAAATTGTGGATTGCCCACTGGCAGCAGTGCGCAGTAAAGGAAGAACCGCTCGCTGAAGGTTTGGCCACTCCCCAAATTCTGCTGATCCCCTACAAAAAAGCGCGAGTTTGGGTCCGCCTGCCCCGGCGATTATCTGAGTGGGTTGGGTGTATGCATTAACCATCGTAAGCTGTCTGATTTGGCCCGGGACTAAGCCAAATATATCTCTATATGGTCAATTTGCACTTTACATACGTGTTTCTTTGCAGTGATGAGTGAGTTGAGTTATGAGTCCGTGTAGAGAGTTACGAGTTCGTCCACAAAGACGTACAGCAGAAAACAATTTAGGGCCACTGTTCTATGCTTCTACTGATATGCACCTTGTTTGTAATGGCCATCTGGACTTCTGACCATTCCCTTGTTAATTACTCATTTTTCGCTTCAAACTCGTAAAACTCAAATGTCATCAGTTTGAAAAGCATGATTATTGCCATATTTTGTTAGGCCACCTCGATGACAGCATCGAGCTGCTCGGGACCTCACCACTGTACCTCTTGGGCCATAAGCTCCTCATGTTGGCATATCCTCCGCATCTTCCCACGCCTGAGTAGCTACCAAAAGCTAGCAAAACACGTGAGGGTTTCCAGGAGGACGAATAATTACCAAACGCTGCAGACTGCTAATCTTTATGCACATGCTTATGCAAATTGTGTGGAAGACCAGTAGCTCAGATAATTATCGGAGGCAGGCGGACCGCAAACTAGCACTTTCTTACAGGCGTCAGCAGAATTTTGAAGCGCGGCCAAACCTTCAGAGAGCTGTATTTCCCTATACTGTCGTTTTTCAGCGAGCGCTCTTGACTCTTGTTACGCATTCTAGGGTATACGCCTGCAAAGATAACACTCTATATGGCAGGGGAATTATCGATGGTTCAATTATCCAAGTTTGGGATACTTTCTCTTAGCGGAAAGCATCTACAGGCTGTGCGGTCCTTCATAAAGGACTGTGCGGCCCCCATCAATTTCGCATATTCTCGCGATCAGTCTGCGAAAATGCGGCCACAGCGCCGCAACTAATCCAAGCAAGCCGCGATTGTTCTTCAAGCACTCTTTTTAAAGACACCGTCCACCCAAAATGGAGGTTTGCGAGATTATGATGGCATACTAGTGTGGGCCCCCACACTACGCAAACCCCCAAGCTTAGCCTCAAAAGACTGCTTCTAGAGCGAGTAATCCGCTTCGGAAGTAGCAAAGTAGGCGCCGCCCACTTGCATGCTTTATCTCGCCTGCGCTTGTTGCAGAGGGTTCTCGAAACAGGGATTTTTGGGGTTTCGCGGATTTTCGACTCCATATCCGGTATCAGGGCCTTTAGAAGGCCTGAACACGACAAAAACATTGAATTCGAGATTTTGGGTGGACGGTGCCTTCAAAGACCGGCATTCTTCCAATTATCTGCAAACGGACCGCAAGAAATCAGCGAAATATTTTTCCGGTGCCCGCCTGTCCATAAATCGCATGGACGCCTGCCTCCGCCGATTATCTGAGAGTAGTCGGAGGGACGCTCAATGCACCGCTTCTTTAAACGGGATTTTGAAATATAAAAGCTTACGCGCCTGATATCGCAGCTTAAATAGCAGGCGCAACCTCTAGAAGAAAATTGTTTCTTTCAACAGATTATGCGAAAGACTTGCCCTCATGCTGCTCGTCATAACTGGTAATTGTTTCAAAGAATATAGCACCTTGTAAGCCATGCTATCTTCATAGATTATTATCCTCGAATGATCGACCGCGAAATGATCAAACCTTATCCACAGACACCTGACATTCTATTTGATCGAATGTTCAACTGAATTGTTTTCAGTACTCGAATATTCAAATAAGCGCTTCCTTCGCCTGCTCCAGTATTTGAATATTGAAAGACTGTTCTCAAAGTTATCTCGAAGTTTCGAATATACGGATAGGCTATTTTTAGCTCGCTGAATGAACGAACACTCGAATAAAGGTCGAATTTAATTTGACTGTTCGAATATTCGAATAAATGAACATTGTCTACACCAACTCCCAGACACGCTGTTGAAGGCTTCTCAATTTAATAAGTCAATTTTGATCAAAACAAAATGCTTACGGTACCCTTTCCCCTTTAATTGTAGATTTGCAATATAACGATACATACATTTATATACAGACACTAAGTTTTGTAATTGAGAAAAATATCGCTATGTATTCATTCCTTACTAGTTGTTTCAAATCAAGTATCCATTCTCATGGGCTTACTGTCAAGCAGGTGCATTTTAAGGTTAAAGCTAAGCGGATTTATCGGTTACTTGACGTCAAGATACCACTTACATATTTCCAAAAACAATAGAACAAAAGCAATATCACAATCTTTGAGATTAGAATCTCTCTTCCGACCAGAATGCAGTTTTAGAGGTTTTAGCCCTCAAATTCAAGCGGGAAGTCTATGATTAATTTCTTGATAATTTGGTCCTTTTGACCATTGGAGTCCATCTAACTATATCTACGTTATAAGAAAAGGTTACCAGGAGCAGCAAGCGCGCTTTGTAGAGTGCCGGTCCAAGAGCAGACCACTTCCTTTGAAATTCTCTGCTACCAAGAAAAGAGCTGAAATATGTTGAATAAGCTATTCCAACTCATATTTTCTATTTTCTGAAGACAGATACATCAATAAGCAATCAACCTCAACTGCATCCTTTCGATTGGCAATGCCATAATCCAAAGTCTTCAAGCAAAGGACACATCAAAAAAGATTACGTGGTCTTTCAAATAATTAATTGAGCATGCAAAAGTTCAATTTTTAAACAAGGGAAGTTTTGCGAAAGAGTTATCAGATTATTGGACAAAAATCAAGAAAAGATGGAGCGATGATTTGCGAAAAATAAGCCCGAGATGATCTGCATGGATTTTATGGAGCGTGAAAAGCTCCATGAGACATTAGCGAGGTCACTGCTGCTTCTGATACAACATGTCAAATGACGAGCTCTGCAATTAGTCATAAGAAATAATGCCAAAGGCGCACATTCCACAAAAGATGTTTTACATACTAAAGTCTGCCAGAGTCAGATTCTGCCAGGGAACTTTTGTAGAGTTTTTTGACATGAGGAAACTGCAGGCATTCTTCGAGATTTTTGCAAAATATTACAGAGCTCTGCACGAAAGTGCCAAATGTCAAGCTAAATATCATTTTGAGAAGAGGAAGCAATGGCGTTTTCGTGTATACAATTTGTGCGCACTAAAAAGCATCCAGCAAACATCCTACTACATGAAGAAACAAGTTACAAAGAGTTGACGTAATCAAAGGCGTCTTGCTCAACGTGAGAATTTAGGAATGAATTTTTAGCCGCAAAAAATCAACAGTGACTCGTTTACGGTGCACAAATAAGTTTAGTGTCATATGACGATATGACACTGAACATGACATATAAACAAATGGGCTAGGAGAAACGAATCACGAAAAATCGGGAAAAATTATTTGAATGAAGAAAATGGCAAACATCTTTCGAAGCTGAGAAGTAGAAAGTTGACTCATTTGCAGAGGTTACCCTATGACTTCAAATTTGGTGTGTAAATGAGCATTGGGTAGTAAAAGCAATTAAAGTCGATCATGTAATTATAGAGCACCGAATTCATACGAACAAAAAAAATTATAAATTTTTACCTCTGGGCCAACCTCAGGAGGCTCGTCAGGTAGAACGACCAGATATGGTGAAAGATTTGCCACGCCAATTTACACTTTTTTATAATCTTTGAAAATTACTAACTATCATTTCTCATTATCCACACAAAATTTCAAATACTATCGCGAAGTTCTTGTAAACAAGCTATTCATTTATTATGAACAACTCTAATTCCCGTTCTACCTCCCATTAACTTCTTTTTTTAATTTTTATCGAAAGCATATTGAAGCTCGGAGCGTGGATTCGGCAAAGAATGGAATTGTAAAGCAACGATGAGTACGTAGAACATCCACAAGAATAAAGAGAGGAGTAAAAGATGGACGAGAGTATGGGAAGGAGCATATATATTATATATATATTAGGTCGTTCCATGGATTCATAGTGTTTTTGTAAACAAAAATCACCATTTTTAATGAAAATCAGTTAATAAAGTATTCGTCGACCTAGCGCAGACCTTTTGCCACATTCTTGTCAGCTTTTCAATCTCAGATTTTCAAACGGCAGCGCGTCGGGTCCCAAGAGAGCACCTATCATAAGGTTTGCGAGAGAGTGGAGCAAATGATAATTTGATAGAGCCAGAATTGGGGAGTACTTTGGGCACTGGAGTGCCTTCCATTCAGATCTTTCAGGACAGCTTTGACAACGTTTGTTGCATGGAGTCACGTTTTGTCCTGCAGAAAAAGTCAATGGATCTGCCTACGCGGCTTCTTCTATGGTATGGCCTCGCCTAGGCGGTGAAGTTGCATCGCATACGGTACGCTTAACAGTCTTTTTCTTGTCCAGCAATTTTCACGCAGGACCCCCTGGTCATATCTCGAAAAGTTTTGTCCAAGGACACAGTACTTAACTCTTGATCTTTCAAAGCAAGCTAATCTCTTTTTGTCCTAAATTGGAGCAAAAGCCATTTTCCATAATAGCTAACAGACTGTGCAAACAACGCTGGCTTTTTATATGCAAAAGTCATCAAATGTCGAAAATGCTTTTTTTTGTCTTTCAAGATTCCCATTTTTGAAGGCTAAAATGTCGGAGAAGATAAGCTTTTCATCAAAATCGGTCACTTTGATTCAAATAGCGTGATCAGTCCTTTCCAATGATATACACATCTTGCAGAAAATCTACCGCTTTCCAAAAATTGAGCATAAAATGAAAACGCTACGAACTTATGGGATGACCTAATATATAACCTAATATATACTGTCTGTCCCAAAAGGTATGCCCGTTTGAGCGTTCTTAAAATGCTGAACAATGAGAGGATAAAAGCACTGTTTTGACGATCGGCTGACCCCCACGCCATCTCAAGCTTTAATAGCCTCTCCGACTGAATTAGAACGGCGAATCCTTATCCTCTTTATTGACCGGTGATACGCAGTTAGTCAAACTGTGAGCATCGTGAAAACGCTGTTGTTTGCTTACAAATGTCCAAATCTGCATCCCCCAATCATCAAATTTATAAAGTGATTGCAAGATTTTTCTTGCGTACATATAAACATAGCAGCGAACATTCTGCTAGAAATTTATCTTAGGACAAGTAAGGCGCAGAAGGATTTTTACACTAAATCTAAAGTTTTGAGGGATGCATTCAGCTTCAGTTCTCAATTGTTTTAGTTTCAAGTATCTCTACTTTGTGAGATGAGAGGTAAATTGCCGTAAGTTTAAAATAACGTAGATTTTAAAATATCATTGAAAAAGGGTGGATTAAGCTGCGGATATTAGATGCGACACGCTTTAAAAAAGTCTAGGAAAGACCAAGGACAAATTTTCTTCAGGGCGAGAAATTCGAAAAAGTCTGTCCTAAAAGTTAGACATTATGATAAAGCCACCTGTGGCCGTATTCATAATTGATACCTTGAGGTAAATGCTACCTCCAGGTAGTTTTATCACTCGTTATCGGCAAGTACCCGTATTCACAAAATACCTTGAGGTAAATTCCCAATATAATTTTGCTGATAATGAGTGATAAAACTACCTGGAGGTAGAATTTACCTTAAGGTATCAATGACGAACGCCACTGCCTGAGCATTATCGCACTTCTTGGCTTTCAAAATTTTTGTACACTTACATCCCAAAAAATGAAACATTTGCAACTGCGATCTGTTAACCTATTTGAAGAGAAATAAATGCTGCATCTTTTGAGTTTTGTGGCACGAAGTATAACAATCCTAAGTTGATAGTTTTTCCGTAAATATCGATTAGAATTATAAGAGCACTTTTACCTCTTTATCGAAAAGACTCAGTATTCCATGACAATCATTTGAAATGAACAACACATGCAGCCTTCAGTACGGGCTTTCCCGTTCAAACTCAACGGATTGAGAACTATTTCAAAGCATTATGAGGCTGATATGCGCACTACACAGCAAAGTTTCAGGCAGGCTCTTCAACAAGAACGTAATCACGATAATTTTTAGAGTGGCTTCTCAAACAATCGCTAAGATTTCCGAGGGACAACGGAAATTTCTGGCACGGCCGAGGCGCGCCCTTGACCATTGGAGCTGCCGCATGGGACGAGGCGTGGGGCGATCCGTTTGCGGTGACGTCACAAAAAGCGAGACGCGCCGTGGGGCACCTGCCTCGGTAGTGCCAGAATTTTGCGAAATCAACGGAGGTTTCTAGGCCTAAAGCACCTTCGGGGCAATTAGTACGCAGCCAGTCCATTACACTGATACCCAGCTTATGCATCTTCGAAACTATGCCTGTCGTTTTCGTATTGCTCAAATCATTTTTCTCATGTTCTTTTTCGCATTTTCCTGTAGCTCATCGACGTTTTTGGTTATGTTGCTTTGAGCTCTTCTTTCTTCCATGTATATGCGGATGCACTTTCAAACCATTAGTTTCTGGTATTCGGCTGTTTATTTATTGTAGAGGAACCTTCGAATGTATGTCTGTTGGCTGTCTATGGTAGACTTTTACTGTTTTTTTGGGCAATCATGTACTCCCTTCTACCAGTCGCTTATCACTCTCCAAAATTCAAAAATAAACATTTAATTGCCTTTATATTGTCTATATATTGTTCTCTATATTTGTCATGTACAGTGACGCTATTTTCTGTGTTGCCGTGGGTGCACCCCCACAATGGTCGACCGCCTCATCGTGGCGTGGGGGTGACAGATGTCGAACTGCGATACACAGCCGAGTGTATACTCTGGCAAGGCCTCCCAAGCAGTGAAGGAGTTCGACATTTCCGGTTTCGGGCAATTGCTAGCTAAGTGCCGGCCAGGTCAGATTTCTCGCCGTCTGATTTTCTCAAGCCGCTAGGCGGTTCTTTCCGCTCGACACCCAGGTCAGTGAGCTGTTTAGTATGTCTGCCCTTGTGGGGAAAAATCTTATCACTCTACCAGTTAAACGAGTAGAAAGAAACCGTGTACATCGGATTTCACCTACGGCGCCGGGTAGTAGCAAGAAAGATGTCAGGGTCCTCAGGGCGCCTTTTGGTTTGGACAAAAACGACACGTCTGCCCGGACGACACGCTACGGAGACTGCCTCATGCTCTGTACCCACAAGGCCAGGACAGTCTCCACAAACGCCGACCTCCACGCTCTTCTCGACGCTGCGGAGCACATCAAGTACTACATCATCGCTCTGCAGGAAACGAAGTCCAGGAAGAAAGATGTGCGACAGATGAGTGACGGGACCCTCATCATTCGTGGTAAACAGCTTCTATCACGAAACATTGGAGGAGTTGGTTTTGTCGTCCACCCACCTATCGTCCATCTTGTCGATTCGCATGAAATCCTATCACCTCGATTATCCACCTACTAATGCGATCTCTACGTCAGAAGACCATCAGTATCATCAAGTGCTACTCTCCAACATCAGCAGCTGACGACTCAGAACTAGATGCTTTCTACGAAGAGTGGAGGAGGTTTTCCGCAACGAAATGTCCTTCTACAAGTATGTTGTGGGCGACTTCAATGCGAAAATCGGGA